GAAATAATGGAAAATTTCACTCGCTACAGGAACCACAAACAATAGAACCCCTTCTGTAATACCTTAACTAGCTAAGACCTAGCAGAGCTTATGTTATTAGGGGAAACACAATCGAGTTGCATGGATCCCCTTAAGCTCTTAAAGGGGTCCCTAGAATGACCAGCAAATGCTGCAAACTGAAAACAGCCAATCCCTTAAAGGTCAGGTCGTCATTTCTGGCCCTTGTCACTCAGTTCCCCACAAGGATCCACATGTGCACTTTGCTTTTGGACCAGGACAACCCAATCCGCTCTGACTCGACTCCAGTTGGGCTCCACCCCAGCATCCCACTCCATCTCGGACATCCACATTCCGACCTCGACAATTTTTGAATAACTAATGAAGGTGCCAGTTAAACGGGAGCCTCAGCACGATGGCAACAATAAAACAATAACCGAGAAAACACAAGGAATGGGCAGAGTATCCTGGCCCAGAATCCTGGCCTGAATATGAAATTCGGATCCGGATTTCATCCGACTGTCGACATTCATCTTGCCAACTGTCTGTCTGGCATTAGGAGCCGAGTGTCCTGTGTCCGCCGTCCAGGACTTATGCATCATTGTCAAAATATTAACAGCTGGCACAGCCAAGGAGGATCCCCCTTTCCCTCCGCCCATGTGAGCCTCTAAGCTGCGAGCTGATTCAGATGATGATGAAAAATATAAATGGAATTCAAGTATTTCGAGACAAATTTTGCTGGGCAAACAAACGAATCGGCGACTGGCCAGATGGACGCCGGACAAATGGGTCAAATCCTTTCTGATTCGGACTCGCTTTCGTCCTGAAAGCGTCAAGAAATTTCCCTTCCTTTAACCTCTGACTTGGTCCTGCATCTGGAGTATATAAATCTACGAGGAGGAAGGTTCCCGGTTAAAAAGGATGTTTTCGCATTTGCATGGGCGTGTGGAAAGCTGCTTAGCTGAAGGCATAAATAATATCAGATATTTATAAATAAGCACTAAAGGATTTCTGAATGGAATTAGAATCATTTCCAAGGAAACTCATTAGAAGGGGAGCTTCCTTAGAAAGATAAATCAAGGAGACTTCTTCTCCTGATTTAACTTGAGTGCAGTGCTATTGGCAGGATATCGATTTCCATCAATGGAGTGCATCAGACAGGAGTTAAAGGGGATTTAGTGGGTGGTTTAAGGGGAACTGGATGACTTTCGTCTGGCTTGTGTGAGATGGGCATGGCTGAACAAATTTGCTTTCGAGTAAATTAAAAACAAACAACAAAATCAAATATTAATGTTCTGTAACGCGTATCAACGATATTCAATCGGATCAGTAACAAAATAGAAAAACGGGGGAAAAGTGCAGAGCAAACAAAGCAATTTAGAAAAATCATTCAGAACTTTGGTTCAGTTTGTTTGTTTTCTGTCTGCGCGTGGAAACAACTGCGAAAAAAGTGTCACTTGTTCACTCTGTCGCAAATGAAGAAACATTCCCCTCCCAAAAATTCCTCCAAATAGAGTCGTCTACATTTCTATTTCACTGCCTTTTCCCTCAACCTTTTTCATTCTCACCATTCTTGTTAGTCTGCGACTCGGCTGGAAATAAAAACCTTTCTGGCATTCAAATGTTATTTTTGGCGCCACATTTGTGGAATTCTACCCACTTCTTCTCTTGGAAACTTCAGGACCAGGAAAACCGTGTGAAATGCGGAAGTATTTGTTGCTTGTTGTCAGTGAATTTGGGAAAGAGAACCCGCATCCTTCAGACTTTTCCCTTTTTTGGGTTTTTCCTTTTCAGAGAAAGATTACTTGCTCTCAACATCCGGGTTAAATTGCCCCTTTGGCTTTGGAAGCCACTTGAGTGCCTTCCTAATTGATGAAAATACCACATCCCATGCTGCGGCTCCTAATTTCATTGTTCATTGATGAGTAGCCTGCACCTGATGAGCTGCAACTCACAGCAAGTATAAACATATATACTTTGGTATCGGGCATAATGCGACGATTTCTGGAGCAGAAACCCTAACAATAACTTCGATTACGGAATTTGGGGCCCCAAATTCGGGCAGCCGCAGATGCAATTAAATGTTAATCGATTGAGTTTGTGTTTTGTGGGCGGGAGGTGGCCTGTGCCACGCCCCCACAGCTGCATACGTGAGTGGGATGATATCAAAAGGGGAGGAGGACATTGACCTTTTGCATCTCATAGGGACGAAGGGTGTTCCTGAGTCGAAGGCGTAATTAATTATAAATAATTGTGCATGTGTCACTTGTAATTTATTTATTTGCCAAACACATCCGCAAAAAGCAGAAGGATAATGAGGAAATAAAGTTTAAATTGATCTCTACTTGGGTCAGATTAAAGCGACCCAACTCATTGGTATGCAGAGCATTCTCGGAAATGGTCAATATTAGGGATATCTTAGGGCGACCCTTATCTAGGGTTTCCTCTTTCTTTTATATGATGAAGAACTTATGGGTAGCATATTGCGCATACGCCGCGTTGTCTTATGAAGTTGTAATTGCCATGTTAGAGAAGAGGTCTCAACTTGTTTCCCGATATTTGCATGTCAAACGCGTGCAAATTAGAAATTACTGCGACACTCCAACTTTGTCTGCTCCCCCTTTACCATCTTACCTTTTTATACCCCGTTTCCACCAGCTCGAACGCATTATTTATGACTTGTACGCTTTTTGCGTCATTTTATAAACATTTTCCAAACATGTTCGCCGACCTCGGAAAAGTTCTCGGAGACTGCAGCAGCATATAAAATGTATAAAAATAAAAAGCAGGCGACTTTATGTTTTATTTATGAGCCACGCACACATAAAAAGTTCGCACGGGACTCCAAAATGCGTGCGCCTTTTAATGTGACCAGATCAGGGGAAGTGGCAGGAGCCAGCAGTTCGGGGAGTAAATACGCTACAAAGTGGTGAGATTAGTATTGATTCTCTGATATGCAGATGCCTCATTATCCCTCAAGTGCCTGCCATATGTTCGCCAAAGGGTCAAGGGTTAAGCGATGAGCACTGGCACAAGTCGAGTTCCAAGTTCCCCGGGCAACTTTAGCTAACCGCAAACCACAAATCGCCGTTTAAATATTAATACATCAATCCACTTAATATGCGAGTTTATGCCATCGAATGATGTAATAAATATAAAAGGAGGAGCCCGCAGACACTCGGATAAAGATGATGCCCATATGCGGATGCTGTAAATCCTTATTCAGTCCATCTGCAATGTCTGTGAGAATGGATATGGGAATGGGGCCTCTCATCCACTTCACTTTATGATGAGTTTTCCCCGACTGGGTGATGGATGCACAAGTACACACACAATAAAGTTCCCACAAAGAGATTCTCCTTTAAAGTTACAGATGGACTTTTATATTTTTCGGACTTTTGTTTCTGGGTCTTGATTTTTTCCCTTTATGCAGCTGCGAAAGTCAACCGCAATATGCCAGTAAAGCAAACCAGATTGTAGTACGCCGAAGACAAAACAAATTCCAGGCATAAGCGCGCACTTCCTGAAAATCCCCTCAGCCTCGAGAAAACTGCCCTTCTCTGCGGTGGTCCTGGCATAAAGGAAGTGGAAGCCTTGTTTACTTGAAGAACTTATAAAGAAAACATCAACTTGGATTTCCGACACAACTGTCGACGGGAATGGGCAAAACAATACCACGAAAGCAAACAAAATCAACAAAGTCCTAACCCTCGAAACATGCTGATATCAAAGCAAAATTTTGCATTAAAACTTAAGAAATCATTGGGCTCTGGAAGGAAGAGCAGCCGAGATAAGGGTGGGAAATGGAATATAGTACACTTCCTGGTCAAAATTCCTTAACATTGTGACCTAAATTTTAGAGTGCAAAAACAAATACAAACCTTTTTGTCAAGAGTTTTGCTTAAGACATTTCCCTTGCTTTTTTGGAAATTCTTCTTGCATTAAAATTCATAAAATATAATAGTCAAAAAAAACTTTAATATTTTTTATGATCTATCTTTTGTTACTCCTAGAGTAGAAGTCCAAAATTAAATGGAGATATATTGAAAACAAAATGTAACTTTTTGTATATCTGTTCAATTGCAATAAACCATTAAAAAAATTAAACACTTTTTTAAATCTCATGAAAATATTTGTTAATGACATAATTAACAATGAATAATGTGGTTTCAACGGCTTTTGATTTATGTAAGGGAAATTTACTGCACAAATATATTTGTATTAACCCGATAAAGCAATATTTTAAAATTTTTTGTATAGAAGGGGTATTAAAAGCCAGTAAATTAACTTTAGGTTGGTATTAATAACCTAATAAAATATAATTTAGGGAAGATAAATTGTAAGCTAAATTCAGATATCCAATTTAGCTTAAATAAACCTGCCTGGCTTACACTTTAAGTTCCGTATAAATATTTTCCCAGCCTTCTAACCACATTTGTGGCCTTTACTCACCTTCGCCCGGCTAAAAGCAATCTTAATCCCACATAAATCCCCATTCAAGTTCAAGTCAACCCTTATGGAGGCCTGAAACCGCAGCGTTAACCAAACGAGGGAACAGCATTTGCCGGTTCGCTCGCTGGAATTAATTTTGGCTTACACATTCTTGGCCAATGAGATTTATGCGTTGCTTACAAGTTGTTGTTCCATTTGTTGTACTTCTACATTTTTCCGCTCTTTTCGCCCACATTTTTGTCCCAAAGAGCCAAAGTTCGGAGGATATAAAAAAAACAGAAAAGGGCGCAAAATGTTGTTTTGATTTGGGTTCCGCTTTCTCCTCGACTTTCTTTCTCAGCAAAAGCACGTGTTTCGTTCGAAAATTTCCCACGCCTGCGCTGAAAACATTTTCGAAATTGAACGAAACTCTTGTCATTCTCATAGACGAAGTGCAAAACGAGTGTATACGAAATGAGGACTTCGGGATTTTGGGGAACCCGAAGATTTTTTCCCTATGCCAATGAAGCGAACCATTGAGCTCTACGATTTGGATTCAGTTTGACTCGAACCTGCTCCGGAAGTAGAAGTCAGTCCCGCGAGTTTCCATCAAAAGGGAAAATCCTAAATACAACACAACAAATAAATTACACATACATCAAAATCAAAAAAAAGAGAGTTAATTACAAATTACATGCAAAGATTACTTGTAGTGCTATTACTGGGATATGAAAGCAAAGTAATTTAAATTCACTTAGTGTTGTGTGTTAACAATTAAATAAAATCGTGTGTGAGTGCGGTGGTCATAAAAATAATTCGTGCCGCAACAGCAGGCGACAATAAATTTTTGCGGTTGGATCGTTAAAATTTCCTTTTACCTGCATGCAGCTGAAACCGGAGAAAAGGCGAATGAGAACATAGAGTTTTTCTTTTTTTATATTTTATCTTCAGCCATTTGCATACGGGGGAAAATTCATTAAAAATACAGCTGAAGCTCAAGAGGAGAGGCGAGGCTGCTCACTCAGCCCTGTGCCACATAAATTTCACGGCAATCAGCCGGCGCTGCAAGTCATCCAAACTTCATTTGTTGCTACTTGGGTTCTGGGCTTTGGGGCCCGGAGTTCTACGCTCTGGGTTCTACAGGATCCTGCTCCTGGCTCCTGCAGCTGAAATATTGCTTCCATTATTTATGTTAAGTTTATGCAACATTCTCCCTGCCTCCTTCAGCTGCAGCAGCAGTCTTTCCTCTCTTGTTTTTAATATCCTTCAGCTTGTAAAGGAATTACTGCTCAAGCCGGCAACTAAGAGAAAACCCAAGTCTCACGGCCTTCTGCTCTAGATTTTCCCCCATTTTTATAGTATTCCCTTACTTTTGGTTCATCTATTTCCATCATTTGCCTCGTTACTCAAACATCATCATCTTTCTGGTTCATTGCACTAGGTGCTGGAAAAGGATAGGGAAAAGGATAACAAGGAGCGCGGTGTTATTGCCATCGAGTGCAGTAATAAATCAATTGTTTTTTGCATCTCAAAGAGCCCGTTTTGCTCCGGGGGATTGACAGTTCGGAAATCTGAAATGTAATCGCGGCCAGACGATGCATTTTGCCGAGAAATGAACTCTAATTGGCTTCACTAGATAAGGATATAAAAGAAAAAGGCTTAAAAGCGGTGAAGAACTTGAATACTTAAATACATTAAAATTCTTAAACAATATATGTTTCCAAATAAAAGAAGGAAATGATGTTATTTTTGGTTTTATTAGCTTTTATTTCGTATGTAATTCCATTAAATTTCAAAGCAATAGCTTAAATTTCCCATTTATTATGAGGAATATTTTAAATACCTATTCCTTCAAACCTAAAAACCCAGTGTATCTTAAATTTTTAATGATGAGGAAACTTAGTATAAGCTCCTTTGGTACCAAAATGGACCACAAGAAAATTTGTGCTTGTGTGATTTCGCCTCAAGCTCATTAACTGCTTGGGGCTTTCCCTACTAGATTGTTATTTTTCCCTCTGCTCGAACAAAGGATAATAGAGGGTAAAACAAGAACATTTACTAATTAGCACTACCAGGCTGCACACAATGAATGTAAAATTATCAAATCGTTTTTTCAGCTCTTTTTATTATTTGTTTGTGGTATTAATTAGAAAATAAAGGAAAAGTTTGTCGAGGATGGGTATGACGTATTCATGGAAATGAAAGGAAAACGAATTTTAATGCATTTTATGACATTTCTTTGAATATTGTATTTTTCTTACACTATTAAAATATTTATTCTGAAGAAAAAGCAATACAAAAATGCTAGGTCTTACAAGTGTAAATAATATTCGCTACCAACCAATTGACCAGAAGGGACCAGAAGTGGGCTTACAAATAGAGTTCATTAATTAAGTAACGACTCTTTTGAAATAAATCCGCCTAATCGTTATAAAATTATATTAGAAAGTACCCATTATATTTTAAATATTTTTTAAACTTTTTTATTTTGTTTTGCCAAATTGGTGGTGAAGTGTATTCAAATTCAGACATCTGCGAACAATTCCATTTGCGCTGGCTGTCAGATCTGCAGGAATTGCTCAGCTGCCTGCTCGACAATTCTCCTGTCGCGGAAAGAGAGACAGCCTGAGTGGCGAGAAAAGGACAGACGCAGCGAGGAGAAAGAGACGGATGGTGACGGGCTGAAGGAGATGACAGCCATGAATGCCATTTCTCCCGGTACCTCCGAGCATAATTTACATTGTATTCCAACTTGAGTGTGCAGTTGAGGCTGTCTTTTATGGTTTGTCTTGGCTCGCTTCGTTTTGGTTTGGATTTTCTCGCTTTCAGCTTTTCTTCCCTGTTTCTTCCTTTGGCGAACAGAAATTTCCACTTGTCACAATCTGAGGAATTTCGCCAGTGAAAGGCTTTCTTCGAGTTGCGCGAAAGCGGAAACGTTGGTTAGCTTCAATTTATACATGTCGGGCTTGTTAAGTTGGCCTAAAAGTGGACTTCTGGCGTACTGATTGCATCATAATTACCCAACTGCCTCCGTCCACCCTGATTTTTCCCCCTAAGTGCTTTTTAACGAGCTCTCTTCGGTTCGGCTGCTGCCGTTTGTGGTCCGTTTTGAGAAAAAAGGGACGAAAATGGGAAAACAAAAAATCTCAAACATTTTATCCGCCACCGATTTTCTACTGTAATTTTCCCCCCAGTGAAAAGCCAGTCATGAGCATTTCCAAATTCTGTCGTAATAATCTGCAACATGTACCCCATAATTTGTAATTTCAACCTAATTACTTCGAGACCAGCCGAAAAGGGGGTTAGTTAGGACCGGCTAAACAATGTTGTTAGCAATAAAATGTCAAAAACCAAAAGCAAGGCAACACAACGCCCATTTCGACTGAGTCACACGCACACCAGCACACATGAAGGCTAAAAGGACACGCCTCCTCACACGCACAGTGCGTATGATATTGGTTTTGTGTCCTTCGCTGGTGACATATGTTAATGATCCGACAGCGATTTCTAGGTCATTCCAATTGATTTTTACGCCTGTCGGGTTGTTCTACTTATTTAATTAAAAATATTGGGTGAAATAAAGGAATGTATAATTATTATAATGATACGAGAAACTACATTTCTAAATATTTTCTTAATTCTTATTACTCTCTGTCATTTCTATATTATTCAGAAAACTATTTAATGGTTTTTTGTAATAAAAAAATTTCTATTTCCTTTTAAATCCCTTTGAAAACATGTATTTATTAAATTCATAAAATCAATGAAATCTCTTCATAAGTAAATATGGACCTTAAAAAAAACCTTGTGGACATGACAAATAAAATGTAATCAGACAATGTCGCATTGATTGAATTCCACTATTTCATAAATACCATAGTTCCATGCTTCAGTGACTTCAATAAAAAATGCTTGCTATTGACATTTCAATGCACACTCTTACATCTGAATATATGTACGTTCTTGCTTTCCAAATAGTTTTACAATATATGTGTGATAAAAACCAATGTTAATAAATGCATGTTCATTAATATTTAAATCCATTGTCAGACGGCTAACGATAAACTACCAAAAAAACTTTCCAGCTGAAACACATATTTTATTTTTAACAGAATCAAATATTTATATATTGGAGCGCCAACTCACTTGAGTTGAGTAAGTGGATCAACTATATCACGGTCGCTGGAGAGGAGTTGTGGGGATGGGCGGAAGTCGGGATGAGTCTGGTGCTGCAGGAAGCTGATAGGGAATGTTCATTCATATTTCATTTTGCAAAATTGTTCGCGACCAAGTCAGAGGAGTACAGCAAAAATGTCAGCCTAACCAGCCAGTTGAAGCGGACTTCAGTGATAAATCCAAGAAAAGAAAACAGATGGCTTGAAAAAATACTCTTGGATATTCCATAAAAACCAAGCGGCTTAAAAAAAGGTGTAGCCAAAAAAAAATATTGAAAATCAATTTAAAAAATGCCTTGGGCAAAAAAAACTTAGAAGTATTTAGTAATAATATAAAATAGATTAGCACAGATTTATAAAGTTTAATAAATTTGACTTGCAGGTGCTAGTGCTAGGATACAAAATAAAGTAACTAAACCAAGAGATTAAAATCTTAGTAAGTAGCCACAAACATATTGTTTCTTTAGAAAAAACCAACCAAGATAATAGGTATATTTATGTAAAACCTGCCTAAGAAAAAATACGAGTTGCCATATAGTCCAAGCTGCCCCAATAAAGTTAACACAAATTTTACCATGGTAATATCCTCGTACGAAAAGGGTTCAAAATGCAACAAAGGCAATTGAAGTGCAGTGGAAACGTCGTCATATAACGTTGGTAACAACAGTTGCAACAGGAATCAGCGGTCACCATGACGTCGACCGTAAAAGTAACTGTTACAATGACACAGCCGTTACTGCCGACCATCCATCCTTTCTGGGCCCATAAAATAGTAACATCAATGGAACGCATTCATACGTGGTCATATTCGCGTATGTACGTCGACTGGCCGGAATAAAGTGCTATTAATAATAAATGTTGCAGTGGCAGCGGGCGAAGGCCAGAGGTGGCCAAATGAACTTGGCAAGCCGAGAATCCCAAAAGCAACAAACCAGTCATATACCCACCTTCATGGCAGGGGATTCCCCACAATGGAATCCGAACTGCAATGCGTACGCCCATTGTTTTCATTCCAGCAAAAAGGGGTACTGTATAATAACAATTTGAAATATGCTACCATTCTTGGGAGTGACTGACTCAGAAAAGGTTTATAACAGCTTGGTATAGTTACACTTCTTACTATCTAAAACAATATCTAATATTTTTTTTTATATCTTATAAATTCTTTGTTCGTTGAAGATAGATTAAAAGGCCAAATCAATACTTTTGGTTTTTAAAAAGTTTTAAAGCATATTTAAAATGTTTTACCAGAATTATTAGTGATATATGTATATGAAAAGAGAATCATATTTCTGAAAAAAAACCAAAATTTTAAAATGAATTAATATTTTTATAATGAACACTTTAAGTTTTCTTTTTGAAGGCGTGTTATTAAAAATCTTTTATAATATGGATCCATTTTAGAAAACACATTTATGAAGATTTCATCTTCTCTTTATTTATATTCTTAGTTTGGCTTTCCCTTTTAAGCCTACGTTTATTACTTAACTTATTTTATTTTTCCTAACGGTGGTATGAGGGTATCCCAAGTTTGATCCTACTTCTTGCTGATATAAGTTTCAGTCAACATACAACATTTAAAAGCCCAGGCAACAACAGGAACAGCAGAGGCACAATACCGTATAGCAGGACGACTGGCATAATAATAATAAATGCCATAATCCCCTGAAATCGGCGCTCCTCTGTGGCCATTTCTCCGGCCCTTTCTCCGCTTTCTCCATGTGTGTTGGCTGCATTTTTATTTTTATTTTTATTGTTTCGTCTGCAGCAACAAAAACCACCACAACAATAACAATAACAATGGCCAAATGCAATTCGACGCGTCAAGTGAATTAAGCGATTTTTAAAGCTTTACGCTAAATGAAATCTGAATTGCCAAAGTGTTCACTTGTGTGTGCAAATTAAATTACGCAAATCAAATAAATGTTTTAACGAAACAAAAATAAAAACCCCAAGGAAGAAAGAGAAAGAATCAAATAAAAATGTTGTTAAAAATATACCAACTACTGTGTAAATAATTCGACAAGTATATCTAGCAACGAGCATAGATAAAATTAATTATAGAATATAACGCAAATAAAACAACGAAAACAATAAAATGTTTATTTTAACGGTAATAAAATTGCTGTTGATAGCGCTGAATATATTTCCCAGTCGCTTCACAAATCGACGGATTATGTTCCTCATCTACATGACAAATCTGGTGACGCACGGTAAGCATTCGATAATATATTATTATTTTTCTGGTGGAGAAATGAGAATAAAACTAAACTAATTTAAATTTACGTTTCAATAAATATCATATTTTTACGTTCTTGCATTTGATTATAAAATTTAGCTGGATATGTCGATGATATTATTTAAAATTTTGAGTATAGGTTGATTATAATACTTATTATTGCTTAATGCTGTTGTTTCCATTTGATTTTCATAATAAAATCTAGAAGAAGATATAAATTCCAAGCTGATAAATGCTTTTAATTATCACTTTTCAAATTTTGTAATTATCACTTTTCTCGTCTATGCAAACTCACCTTTCCACTCCTTCCTTGCGAATTTTTTAATAAGCACTTCCATACACTCATATTTCCGCCACCGAATACGTGTTGTTCCCCATGTTGAAGGTGTCAGATCTGGCCATAATTTAATTAAGAAAATGAGACCTCAAAACGTGGGCAACGCCGCTTGTCCTCGCTGCGAACCCAAAACTACGGCCCAAACCCAAACGCAAACGCAGGTGAAAGCCGTGAACCGTGTGGCAGGTGCAATGCTGGTGCCTACCGGCCAAAAGGGGCGTGGCAGGGAGTAAGGGGCGGGGGGCATGGTGCGACTGCATGACGCAGATAAAACGGCAACACGGGCCTCACCAACATGGCCAGGGGTAGACCATGTTTTTTATACCCGACACTACGAAGGGTACAGGGGTATATTAACTCTTGAAATGGGATTTCTTCGAAAGACTTAAAGTGTATATTTTGTGAATAAAGATCTGAATTACCTCCCCCAGTTAATAAGGAAATATGTTTAATAAAATAAACTCATTTAAGATTATTCACACAAGTAAAATTATTATAAATAGATCATTGTTTAATTTAAGTAATGTCTATATACCTCTTTCTTTATAAACAAAGGTTAAGGAAATTTCGGTTTCTAAAAATAAACCTAGCCTGGATTTTTAAATTTTAATTTATACATTTTTACATATATTTACAAAGACTCCAATAACTAGGAAAACTTTTGTGTAATTGCAAAGAACTTATCTTATCAGGATTTTTTACATAATTTAAAAAGTAATTTTTTAATTGATTTCTGAATGTAATAATGATCGGAATATTCAAAAATACCTTATAAATATTGTAGGGCTTGCTCAAATTTTTAAAAGTTCTTCACAGTTTAATTTCTTTAATTAGGAACTATGACAAAATCACTTGATTGGTTCTGATAGACATACAAAAAACCCCCTATGTTGATAATTCATTGATTAAGGGGTATCAAGAAGTTGCAACTCGGCAAGTGTTATCCTGTTACCCATTAGCTGAAAGCCAGGTATCCCACTGTCGTTGTCGAGAATGGTGTTTTTATTATTTTCGCTTTTTGTGCCGCACTTCCGCGCAAAAGACAGCGGCACGAACACGAGAGCTGAATGGATAGAAAAGGAAAGCAGGGAGAAAAGTTGCAGCAGGCAGCCTCAACAGGCAGAAAGTACGTGCTGCCATTTCACCCAACTAGCATTTTTCCCAGCCCCGACCAGATAAAAAATGCTTTGTTTAATTATTTCATAATGACGCTGCGGTTGCCACTGTAGCTGCTGTTGATTATATTTGGCCTGTGGGTCAGGGATTTCCGGCAACAGCTGCTATTGCTTCTCCATCAACATTTGCACTTCTTTATTTTTATTACCCGGCACACTCCGCTGGGCTTTAATGACTTAGTTATGGTTGCCATGGCGAGAACTTAAACTGGAACTGGGGCTCTGAGTTTGTCTTCCACACAAATTATTCATATGTACTTAAACATTTTTCACAAACTATTTTTGGCACTAAATTTCCTTGCGACTTTGGTAAGAATTTAAGTGGAATTTTAAGGATCAGGAAAAGGAGTGAAAACTTAACCACACATTAGTTTTCTTTTGATTTTTTCGAACTCTTTATAAGAGTAGGTATAGTATTTAATTTTAAATTTGCTTTGCTTTGGGATTTCTTTTTATATTAATTTGTAGGTGCTTACAAAAATTACTGTTTTTCACTTCTTTTGAATAATAAAAAGAAAAACCATTTGTAATTAGGAAAATTTATGACTTAATCCAAACCAGATTGATAAATTTTCCGCTTAATAAGTTACGTAAGTTAAGCGAAACCCTTGACAGTAGAAATTCGACCCTTATTTGACCATTATTCAGCGCAATTAAGCTTCGTCTATGGCCAAAGGAAAATTTCGCTGGTCAGCCGAAGAATTAGGTTTCTTTAGTTGACTCTCTCACTCATTAACTAACCGACTTTCCCCAACACTTTCCATTTGCAGTCATGATGGATGAGCCACGTTTTGCCCAGCCGATACCAAACGTCACTGTTGCCGTGGGTCGAGATGCCAATCTGCCCTGTGTTGTGGAGCATTTGGGTGGTTACAAGGTGAGAAATGGGGAAATGGGGAAATTCCGGGAGGGGAAAACCCCGAGGAGATGGGGAAAACAGGGGGAAAACTGTCATAAATCGTGCGTAAACTGAACGCCATGGTCGAAGCTCGGCCACTTGATGAAGGAGCTTGAAACCGAGACGGACAGTGTCAAAAATCAATTTCCCAAATTGCACAAGGACCAAAGCAATTGACTGACTGACTGACAGGAAGGCAGAATGACAGACTTTTTGGGCACTCAATAGGCAGCTAAAGATAAAGGCAAGGCCCATCAAAGTTATACTCCAAAATACAATGGAAATTCCGGCCTTACCAACCGATGACTTTCGCCTGTCATTAGCAAGTCGAAGTTTTGTTTGCCCGGAGACACAATTTATGGGTCCTGGCCTGCACTGCCTGCATATATGCAACTAATCCACAATAAGCCAAGGACCTCTGGTGCTCTCTCGACCAAACAAAATGGCTGGAAAATCACTTATCATTTATCTCCCTCAGCTGCTGGCACACAGCGGCGAGCTCATAACAAATCACAAATATTTACTCGCCATATCAACTTCATATAAAACACTGTCCCCAGGACCAACAGCAGGACCATCCAGTTAGGACACGAGTCCTTGCTACTCGCTCTTATTGGACTTTTGTCAACATTGGCCTGGACATGAGGAAAATGGCAGAGTAGAGGACAGTAAAGCGAGAAACTCATTGCTGTCAGTGCCGCTGCTGAGGGCAAGTTTGAAAAGTTTGCTGCCAACTCAAGGCCGGGAAAATCCTTCCACCATGAAAGAATCCGTCTCTCCAGCACAGAGTAAAAAAATGGTATAAATGGGAAAATTACTATAGAAAAGATCCAATGTTAAACTGATTGCTTGGCCACTTTTATAAAGAAACCTATCGAAAACCTTAAGAAAATCTCGGATGAAAGCCCTATAACTTGAAGTCTCATATTGATTAAGTCCAAAAGTTATCATTATATACTAAACTATTGATTGAATTTAAAAAAAGTATTATATATAATGCAGTGAATATAATATTTTCAAGTTAATGCATGATATAAGAGTTAAGAACTCGTTAAATATTTGTTAAAGCATTGATTAGCTTTGAATTTAAAGAAGATTTTCTGAGTGATAAATGTAAAAATCTCGGAAGATATGTTTTAAATAGGTGATTTTTAAATTGAATCTTAAAAAAGATGCCTACTTTTTGATACGAAATAAAACAAATTTTATCCTAAAAACATTTTATCTCTCGGTGTATCATGTCCTTTAGAGCCAAGGCAAAATGAAATCCAAAGAAAGTGCGAACAGAAGGAGCAAAAAATAAAAGTGTATTAAAAATGCGGAAACAGCTGTCAAGCTGGCTTTATCCTCGGGTCCTGCGTCACAACATGACGTTCATTTATAATGGCAGGGGCTCCACATGTGTTTTAGCAGGGAGTCAATCTGGTAGATAGTGGATAGTTGGGTCTTTAAAGAAGGCCTTAAGGTCTTTTGGCCTTTACTGGCATATTAAGCGAATCGATTTTGAAAGTTACCCTCATTTGGCAGGTGGCCTGGATTCACATCGACAGGCAAATGATACTGACCATCCACCGGCATGTGATATCGAGGATTCCGAGATACAGCATCACCTACACCGACAATACGTGGTTGCTGCATGTGAATCAGGCTCATCAGGACGATCGCGGCTACTATATGTGCCAGGTCAACACGAATCCGATGATTAGCCAAGTCGGCTATCTACAGGTGGTCGGTGAGTATTCCCCCGTACTGTTTCCCCCATTAAAAAAACTGACGTTGATTGGGATTTCAATGTTCCCCCAGTTCCCCCAAACATTTTGGACATTGAGAGTACGCCATCGTCGGTGGCAGTGCGCGAAAATCAAAATATCAACATGACATGTCGGGCCGATGGCTTCCCGGCTCCAAAAATCATTTGGCGACGGGAGGATGGCGAGGAAATTGCCGTCGAAAAGAAGAAAAAAGGTAGGTGTGATGAGGGGAAGGGGTTGATTTAAGTGTTTTTTAATATCTGATTACAAATTGAAAGCAAAAGAAAGCTTATGATTTCGATTTGTTTAAAATAAAAAGTAAACTTTTTCTCTCCCAAGAATTTGTATGATATGGGGATGTTCAAAATTGAATTTGTTTTAATCTTATTCACTATCAGGCTGTTCCGATTCTTACATTTGAGATATATTGCCTGTTCCTTATGTTTTCTATGCTATATAATCTGAACCATTAGAGTCTATATTTTAATATTCTTAGACGTGTAAATGGACAACACGATTGAACTTTCTTTCAAACAGTATTTCAAACATCCATCTTAATAATTAAAAGGTCAATTAAATGATATTTCGTTTAGAAACAAATGAATATTGTAATGCGATTCCCAAGGGTATCACGCTTTTAATGGCAAGTCTTCCTGATTAGGGCAATAATTTTGGGATAACATGCCATTTGTAAAATATAGGAAATGAACTTCCTAATCCCCCCTCTAAATCTCGCATGTTTATTTCCATGTTCCGGGAATCCACCTCCAAAACCGAAACCCCCGTGGAAAACAACAGTTCTCGTGTACGACGGCGATGTTCTGCCGCTGAGCAAAGTGAGCCGGAATGAAATGGGCGCCTATCTGTGCATCGCCACCAATGGAGTACCGCCCTCGGTGTCCAAGCGGATCATTCTCGATGTAGAGTGTAAGTATTCGATACAAGTAGAGCATGGGACCTGAGTCGCCCAACTAACTGGTGAATGAAAACTGTACCAATCTGTGTGGGCTTAAGGGATCCTTTTGGGAGGGTGCATATTATATTAGCCCCCTCGTTGGCTGCCTTTGTCAATTTAGTTCAAACACGCGCGCGCACTTACCGGAACGCGAGCAGGCCATTCATCCAGCCAGGCTATCCATCCATCTATCTATCCATCCGGCCATCCCGGCTAACTGGCATCCATCCAGCCATCCCGCCTTCCAGCCATCCACTATCTGCTTTTCGTGCCATATTCCTTCATGGAGCTGAGCAGCGCCTCCTATTCGTACCTGCTGCTCATCAATTTAACTGCACGCTCGTTGCTCCGGCAATGAGTGACAAACGCAGCTAAGCTGGCGCCATCTAATGCATCTGATATATAACAGCGGATACATGTATAGAAAACACTGGGAAAAAAAATATATTTTAAAATTTTCGAAGAAAAAAAAATCATAGACACATAGTATTATGGTATGTTATTTGGAGGTTCAACGGTAAGGTTTTTGTCATTATAGATATATATAATATTTGCTTCAAGAAATCTTACAAAATTCTTTAAAAATTCATATTAAAATGATACTGTATAAATTATATGTTTATAGAAACTATATAAATGGTAACAATAAAAAATAGCTGAATGAATTTCACAAAAGATTTTACAACTTCAATAAAAAAAAGAGGTAATCATTACATTTTTAAGTTTTCAAAACTAGTTAATGTCTTAGTTTTCTTCCAGTAACGAAAAAACTAGTTGGATCCAGGTTAATAAAACAAGGAATGTGACGTGAATACACTTTATTATTATATTGAAAATTATTTCACAACTCTTTTTTTTTAACGAAGGTACCTAATAGATCGAATTTTGTTGAGATAAAGATATATCAGATTGATATCTTAGACTGCAACTTAGTTTTATAACGTAAAGAAGCAAAAAAAACTATGACAAATGAGCACTCAAAAAAATAGTATTTTCTCTAAAAAAGACATATATCCAGAATATATATTTATGATAGCAATTTTTCTCAGTGCATTTTTGGAACAGGAGATATGTATGTATGGTGTCCTGTCGCTGGGCGTAAAAGTTGCCGTTGCACGCCGTGCGCCAGTAAACGCTTGTTAATCCTAACGAGTTTCAGCCAGCCTCCGTTCTCCTCCCCCCTCTAACTGCCCTAACCCCCCCTGACTACGCTCCTGTTCCACAAATTTCGCCCCCCTTGACAATAATTCACGTCACGTACCTGCAATAAAGTCACTTGCCGGCGTTGCACGTATGACTTTGACGGCGTTTTTCTGTTTCGCCGTGTGGGCGTCGGTGTGCCTTCTTCTCTCTATTTTATTATGAACGCTTTTGTGCGTGGCTGAGCCGGGGGCGTTGAAAGGGGGCGTGGCACCTGGCAAGGAGCAGCAAACCTCATATTGCAGGTGGGTAGGCATTGTCAGTAGCGTTTAAAATTTCCAACTAGCTAGTTTCTCCTTTCAATTTTGTTGTTCGGTTGGTAAAGGGGTTTTGGGTTTCGGTTTCGTGTTTAGAGTTGGGTGGTTGGAAATGCGCAACCTAATATACAGTCTCGTTGAGGTTGGCTTAAAAAGTTTAAAAAAAGCACACATATTTCGTGTTAAGTGAGATGGAAGGCCCAATATATTGAGACTGAGACAAAGACTGATGGTGAACGATTGAGGGTAAGGGATGGGTTAGCTTTTTATGGGGATAAAAGGTCTGGAAAAATGTAGTTAAGGAAAACCAAGAAAATACTTGAAGAATATTTATCGCTATCCATTTAATATAAGCACAATCTTTAAGATTATTTATTAAAAACGATTTATGAAAAGTTGCTACAGAAATATGAAATCATTTTAAAGAATGCTAAGAAGTATGCAAGAATATTTATTAGTCTGATAAGTAAAAGAAATTTATGTAGGTGGCTTAAGTTTTTAATATGTATTTATGAATCACCATTATATTTAAAAACACTTTTGAGTAAGAGTAAAATATAATTGGCTCCTTGGAACCTCTTCTGTGTCCATAGCAAACTTAAGTGACAAACCCATCTGCTGCACGTACTTCCTGCTAAACCTAATTTCTTTTGGTAGTAGCCTCGTTTTGCTGACGTGTTGTCTTAGCCATATTGTATATCACTCCACTTATATGCTGTCTGCCTTTCTCGACCAAGTTTTCCAGCTTTGTCATTGCACTTTCATTTTAAGCTGGCGAAAAAAAAGAGCAGATAGACAGAGCTGGAAATTGTTGAACAGGCGTAATTCTGCCGCTTATGCGTGCTTTGAAACGACACTTTTCCCCCATGCCTTTTGCAACCACCTGAGTTTTCCCCCAGGTGCCGTTTACATTTGCTAACGTACCATATCAACCTATTTTTCCGACTCAACCCCTCTCTATCCACAGTTTCTCCGATGATTTGGGTGCCGAATCAACTTGTTGGCGCTCCATCCGGCACAGATGTAACCATCGATTGCCACACGGAGGCGCATCCCAAGTGAGTCTCTTCGGAATTCCTTCTTTTTGCATTTAGTTTTCCCCCTACTACATTTATTTCTGTTCGTTTTTATGTAGCGCACTTTTAAGCTGAGTGTCTAAAAAAGATACATTTTGGATTTTCTGTTACACCTTTCCTTTTCGTTTAAATACAAATTGTTTAAAACAGTTAATAAAAACATGTTGAATTTTGCAATTTATAGTATGTGGAAAGCTCAATAACCTTTTAATTACATCATCATAGAAGTTGTGAAATTTCAAAAAATACTACGTCTCTATAGATTTAAATATGTATCCAATGTTTTAAGCCTCTTTAACATGGACTAAATATTCAGAATACCAGAAAATTTTTAATCAATTTTGCCACAATAAGCAACAAGTTTAGCAATTTTTTTTTTGCCCATACCATGTCTCAGTTTAATCCATTTTATTTTTGTTGAATTTATAAAAGCTTACCTTGCACCTGATTGTACTTACTTGTGTGTATCTGTGAATATTTCAACTGCTCTGTGTGTCTCTTTTGAATTTTACTTATTCGATTTGCCTTTGATTTTGTTAAAATATTTACTTTCATTTGAGAATTTGATTAGTTTTCTTCATTCCGTGTGCATGTGTGTGAATCACATTTTCGTTTACATTCGATTTCAGTTTAACTGGTAATTCCGAAATGTTTTTTTAACCCCCTGCAGGGCCATCATCTATTGGGTATACAACTCGGTGATGGTATTGCCGAGTAAGAAATATAAGACCGACTACACGGAGAACTCCTATCGGTAAGTCACTTTAAAACAAAAACAGAATAAAGAATATAAAAACAAACCGCAGGCAACATCGAAAATTGTGTTGTTAAATATTTATCATGCATTTGCACTTTGCCTTTTGGGGGTCAGGTGCAAGTGCAAATGTTTTGGACCCCCCAATCCCAAAAAGTTGAGCAGATAAGCTGTTCTATGGATATATCCTTGAGCTTAACGTACATATACTATCCCAACCTATTGCAGTGCCCACATGAAGCTGACGATAAGAAACCTACAGTATGGTGACTTTGGCAACTATCGATGCATCTCGAAGAACTCGCTGGGGGAAACGGAAGGCTCCATACGTGTTTACGGTAAGTGCATTTGTATTGGTGACTTAAGTGCACTAGTTACGGCAAACACACAGATACACACACATCTCCCACCCCCAGCAATGCAATATCGTTCGCCCTTTGTGGGACAATTTTGCCAAAAGCTTTTACCTATAGACCCGGAATCCACACGACCCTATATGTGCACTATAGGTTGTCCTCCAGAGCGTAAAACTAAACGAGCGGTGGCTGCTGGCCCTATCTGCCCCGCATTCTTCACTCCTAACCACCCATTTTCAGTAACCCCATCACATTCCACCATACCATCCCCACCAAAAACCAAGTATCATCATACCCCGTGGCAACACGGAGACACATTCACCATAAACGTAAACGGAAAATAAAGGTGAATTTCGGAATTGTTTGACTTTGTATCGTTTGCTAGCCCAAGGAACCTACCTATAGTATATATCTAGTCTATATATGTAGGAACGTGTGTGTTGGCTGCATTTATTTATTTATTTTTTATGCACTTTGCCTGCTTTTGGGGTCTTCTGCTGTTTACAAGTTGCCTGTGCTGAAGGCCAAAGTCTAAGATATCCTAAAGGTTATTGCGAACACACGTACAACTTGGCTTCTTAGTTTTTCACATTTGCTTTGGGGTTCGTTGTGAAAAGTTTAAATTCAATATCATTAGGTTTTGGTAAAAAGTTGTTGAGTTATATAAATATATTAACTTTTAGTAGCACTTAAATTGGTTCATATACAATTTCTATGACTTCTTATGACTTTCTGTTAAATTAATTAATTAATATGTTACCCCAAAAAGTAGGCAACATTTTGAGGCCAGCCATAAAGTCCAATGTTAAACTGCTTATAAAAACTGATTTACCAGTAATTACTAAGATTTCCCCCTGGTTCAGCCTAGAAGCCTAATTGGTTTTATGGCCGAAACCCAAAAGGCTTTTAACTAAAAGTAAAATTTCTTTAATTTATGCACACTTTGTGCCGAGATCAACTTGACCCGAAGCTGGGGAAGTGAGCGTTTGACCTTAAATGTAGAGAAACCCCATACTTGACATAGTAAACCAATGAACAGCAACCGTCATAAATTCTGCTAACATAATGTAATGAAAAACCATTTTGTATAATTTTATATATTTTCTGCTGCCGGGATTCTGCCTTTCTAATTATTAATTATGCAATGTTATTCAATTCCATTTGCAGAAATACCTTTGCCATCCACGCCATCCAAGCAGGTGACCCACACCACCGTCGAGTCCAGGGAGAGTAAGTATAGTATCAGTCGGAAAAGTGGGGTGGAAATGCTGGTGAAAGGTGGGGAAATGCGGGGAATGCTTCGTATTTGCGCTTAACACATCCAGCGTTGAGCGTGAAAGTCACACCACACACACACTCGCAAGCTCAGGGAGGAATACAGGATACGGCGAGCCACAAACAAAACTGCGAAAGTAGCAGCTAAGCCAGACAGATCCACAAACAGGGTGGCCCACGGGGAATGAGGGGGTGGTGCCGTTGGAGGGGGTGGGAAATGGGGGAGTGGCACACGCCCACCTAGAGATAAAGTAAAGCACTTTGACTATTTCAGCGACGGGGTTATTCGTTCCACTCACAGTCGAAAAAATTAGTTATCAATTGTACATATTCCCCATTATTCCCATTATTAAACAAAAGATTTTCTATAAAAATCCCTAAAAATTAAAATTATATCTTATCAAAAATGTTTTAATGCGTTTCAAAACAGAAGAGAATTTTAAGATTATTATTAAAATAATATATATAATATAATAATAATATATATAATATATACACTTTTAGAAGATCAGTTTACGAATCTTTTGAGGTGAGAAATCGTTTTAATACACAATCATAACGTTGTACAATAAACCAGCACAAGTATTCGGTATTAAAGTAATATTTTTGATATTTCCTAAATTACTAAGCTTTATTTCTATATTATTCCAGAACGTTATAATGTCCTTTCATATTATCTCTTTAGAAAACAGTAAGGTTATCATTAACATTATTTATGCTCTAGGTACCTATATTTTTAAAAGATTATAAGTGTTAATTATTTTTTTTATAATGGGAAATGTTCTTAAAATATGACATTTCGAAAAGTCTCTTATATGGAAATTATTTTGTTATAGTTAAAATGTACGTAGTATTTTTTTTACGTGTATTATTCCAGCTTTTGTTGAAATTCAAGTCATGCAGAAAAGTACACACACTTTCAAGTCTCTGCCCGGACTTGTGGCCGTGTCCTTTTCCCGCTCCTTTTCTCATTCCCATTCCCGATCCCGATCCCGATCCCATGCCCATGTCCATGTCCTCTGGCTCTGGGCAAAGCAATATGCTGGGGATTATGCTGGGACGGAGAAGGATTTTCGGGGGCATTAGGTTGGAAACACATTTGAAACACTGCCGCAGACTTTGAGCCCGTGAGCTGGAGAGCGGAGCAAAAGACCAAACATTTTTTATTTTAAGTGACTGGCAAAGCAGCGCGCGAGCAATGCAACGGAACCTAATCCAGGAGTCAGCCAACAAAGGATCTTATTGTGTGTGTGTTTGGTCCTTGATGCACATGTGTGAGTTTTTGTCTTTGTGGGGTGGGTATAAATTTTTTGTATCGCAGCCAAGATTTCCACGCAATTTAACTTGAAAACCATGTCTCGGGCCGGGGTTAAGTTTTGTTTCAGAGTCCAAAACTTTTGCTGGCCAATAGTGACCCACAAGTGAGCAAACAGTTAACGACAAACAAGTGAACTTTCTGTCGATTTCCGATAATTCGAACTTTTCAGAGACTAATTTTGTGAGACAAAGATGAAATGGGGAAAGGGTTTCTTAAGAGTTACTTTGTATAGTTTACTGTGTAAACAGGGCTTTAACAAATGTTTAATTGGAATATGTTGATAATTACGAAGAAATGCTTTCCTTTTTCTGAAATATTAAGGGATTTTGTGGGATTTGTTTAATAAAATTATTCCCACTAGTCTAATATGATGCTTAATTTGTCTATCAAGCATATTGAAATGAACCATTCAACTTATAATCTGCAGACAATATCATACCCCCATCACGCAACGACACAACGAAATCCCTGCAAACGGATGTGGGATATGCCATGAAGAACGATTTATATCCTGGCTCGGCCTCCTCATCATCCTCGGGCGGCAGTTCCTCGGCGGCCTCGTCCTCGTCCTCGACCTCGATGCAGACCTCTGCCCTGCCAGGCGGGGTGGCGGGAAATAGTCTATCATCGGTGGGTTCCAAGGGATCCCTGGCGATAGGAAAGAGCACGTTCTACACGGAACGACCACCGAATGAGTATGCCTCGTCAGTGGGTAAGTCCCAAAATAACCCCTAACCTCTACAAAACCCACCATCTATATCATATTTTCTCCAGCTGGCCTGCTGCTCCATAGAGCCCTGCTCTTTGGCTCTGGAATCTATTTGACTCTGCTTTGAAATCAATAAATCACTTGAGTTACTCAATAAGCATTTCGAAAATGCAGCCAAAGGGGGTATAAAAAAACCACGGGGGATAGTTTAGGTACATCATCATATTTCATAGCTTAAAATATATTACAAGTCCCAATAATAAACATAAACAAAAAATGCTTCAAACTTGGCTCACTTCAAAGCTATAGGAATTTGTAAAGTTATAAAAAGAAAAGGTATTTTGCAAAACAATAAAATGCTCAATGTATGTATAGTATAGTGCTTATTATATGATAAGCTTAAGATAAACCAATGTATCACTCATAAGAAGTGGTTTGACAAATGAATTGTACAATATATGAATTATATCTTAAATTAAATTTAGAACAGATGGATTTTGTTAAACAGAATTATATTTTAAATTAAATTTAGAACAGATGGATTTGGTTTGCCCAAAGTCACAGCTTTTCTAGAGCAGAAATGGTTTTATTGTTTATAATTTAAAATAAAAACCTTTACTTTCAACATATCTCAAAGAAGAAAACACTGGAACTTAACTTGCTCATATCATTATTAAAGTATTACAATTTTCCTATGAATTGAACATATCTGAAAATTACAATTTTGAGAATACATCATTTTTAATAATTATTTTTGATTAAATATTAAACGATTCTTAATGTTCCGACCTTAAGCAATCGGATTTCATTGTTCGTTTTCGTGACAAACTTTTTAAGCCCTTTTCTGAAATGCATTGAAAATTTCCAATTAATTTAATGAAAGCAAGGTTCGCCCATCTACGGCTCTGAATTTTGTAGCCATGTGGCATTAAAACGCCTTGAAAGTGTCGTTTACTTTACCAGTTTCCCTGTTGCCAGGTGCTGTGGTGAAAAATTTGCAATAATAATATGCCATACCTTGATTCCGTTTCCTGGCCCACGGAAACCGCCTCGTCATCCTCATCGTCACCATGGCCATCGTCATCGGCTTTTGTGCACTTCCATCACTTTTTAATAAATGTGCATGCTAATTATATTATTACTCATACGACCCGTTGCCATGTGTCCTGTCTGTCTGTCTGTTTTTACTGGGGCCTGCCTCGCCGTGCGAAATACTTGCAATTAATTTCAGCATAAAATTGCGCGGCCTGCGGTCCCTCGACCCCACACAATGACACACAGTTAACATGTCCAATTTATTGGCCATAACTCATGCCCGGCAGCTCAGCCAGGGAGTGAGTGAGAAGGATCCTGGATACAGGATACAGGATACAGGATACAGGAGCCAGGATCCACGATTCGTGGCCAATCCAGAGACAGACAACCGAGCGCCATCGACGAGGCAAAGAAAAATGACATTAAGGCCAGAAGATATATGGCCCATTTGCATATAGGTTCATGTATATGTATAAACATGCTCGGGGTTTTGCAGCAGGCAAAAGGCCTGCCAATTTACTGAATTTATACTTCGACCTCGCCGTTGCACGATTTTAATAATTCAACTTGCGTTGCATAAAGTTTGCATTGACATAAACATAATGAACGATGGAAAACCGCATGCGAAATTGCCTTTCTCCTGTTGCCCTTTTCGTTTATTAACATTGTTAATGCCCAAAAGGAGAAAAGCACATTCGGCAAGCGTTGAAAATATTGATAATCAACATTGTGCCCTGTCCTCGATGTGTCGACGTTCCGACAATAACAAAATTAATGCATTTTATTTAATTTTCCCCCCTCGCACAGGGGTTCAGAGGAAAAATAAGGTCGCCAGTGCAGTTAACTCGAACAATGAAGCTAATTAAGCATTATATATGCAGTTGAAAAGGCGACAGGCCAAGGATATATCACAATCTTTGGGGAGTCATATATCTATCAGTATTTATGCATTTATTATTTATTTAAAGTGCCACGAATAATGAACTAAATTTCAATCCAGTTTGTGTGGGGCTCGGGCTTCAATAAAATGCTCGTCAAATGTTTGCCAAATTCAACCGCACATTTTGTTTTTAATTAGTAAATTGCGCTAATTAAAATTGCAGTTATGTTTGTAAATAATACCTTTTAACTGAGGTCATACCATTTTTGATGTAAATAAATGTTGACCCTTTTAGTTGCGTGTAAATATGAGAAATAATAATTAATGCATCAAATACTCACTTCATACAAAAACAATTGAATCAGCCAGAAAGTAATTCCAAATACACTAGTAAAAAATTTCTGGCAAATTATTAACTATACTAAAACAGAATTATGTAAAGTCTAGGAAATACATAATGAATTCATACTTGGCAAGAAATACCATAAATAAAAATCATATTCAAACTATATAGCCTATACAAAGTAATTACTGTTTGTTGCCTGTATTTTAAAAATTAGCTGAACATCAAATGAGTAATATGTAAAATGTTTAACGCTTTTTGTGCGAATAAAGAGATAAGAACGGATGTGTTTTCCTATAAAGTTGACATTTTGTAATATAAATAAAAGTAAATATTATAAATAAATTGATTATGTAACTAAAAATGTTTCGTTTTGTTAGTGTTTCTTATTTCTATAGTGTTTGTTTTTAAAAGTTTTTTTTCATTTTATGTATACATTTTTTTTAGAATCCAAAATTGTTATTTTTTCCTGTTATTTTGAAGTTAGTTTTTAATTACAAAAATGTATGTATAAAAACTTATTTTTAAAATTGGTGGACCAGTTCCTTGTTTATATTTAACAAATATTTTTTATACGAATTGAGCTGAGTTCTCAACGCTTGACTATTGTAAAATAAAAAATATCAAAGAAAAAAACGAAATTAAGGTAAATTTAACAATTCTATGATTAAGATTGATCAAATTTAAATGTAAGCAGTTATATAATTATGCGATAATAACTAAACAATAAAACTTTAGGTTGATTAATACCAAAAAAAATGCGAACCGAACAAAACAAACAAACTAAATGAACATAAATAACTGTTGTTTCATTGAACCATTTGCATTTAATTTTGGCTCTCAATTACATGGGGGAATGTCCAATGTTTTTGGTTTTGGTTTTAGCCTGGCATTTATGCAAATTTCCTCTTTTTTGGAGTTTGACATTCGGCGGTTGGTTTCAGCAATACTAACAGCCCAAAAAAGCAACGTTAATGAGGGTGCTTATTTACGCAAAATCCAAATTACAAACACACATGAACACTGTAAATATTTTTGAAAATTCTACAAACCAGCTTATGAATTTATATTTAATCAGCAGTCTTTATTACTTTTATTTCTCCAAGTGTTAAGCTGGCAGACCGCCAAAACCTTAGTGTGCGTCTACTAATTGTTTGAGTCACGCAAACAAATTTAACACAAAATATGCTAAAGACTTTCTGAGACCCGCACAAGAAAAATGCTTAACAATTTAATGTGATTTGCATAGATTTCAGCAGCTTGAGCGTTGACATTCAGCAATTAACCTCGACACGCACCTCCTAAAATCCCCATTTACCGCAGAGTAACTTGTCAAAAATGAGACAGTTCAAGAGTGAGGAGAAAATTAGATACCTTTTAGATCTACAAAAAAATATATATATATGGTAAAAGTATCTTATGATTGGCTTAGGTTAAAACAAGGTAAGTTAAATAGTGTGTACTAACTAAAATATTTGTGAGCATATAATAACCCATATTTTTTCTTAAATGAATAGCTTTTTATGCAAGAAGAAGTAAGGAACTAATATATTTGTGAGCATAGAAAATTCCTTATTTTTCTTAAATAAATTTCTTTTTATGCAAAAAGAAGGAATTTTCCATTTTCCTTTTTATTATATAAGATATGAAATATTCATTTTATTATGCCATCACTAAGTAGAACAAAACGCTTAGGTCGCAGAGCACGCTGCGTATACGCAATATTTCCTCAGCATTCCCAAAGTGCCTCACACATTTGTTGGGTAACCACTTGGGCACACTAACATTATCATAATTATAGGGCTTCTAGGGGGAAATGGGGATTCTAGGGTTCTGAAAATTGGGGACCGGAGACACCTTGCACTCTTATCTCAAAATGCCTGCTTTGCGGCACTCGAGAAACTTTTCAAAAGTCATTTAAATTATGCGCACAAAAGCGCGAAAATTATGCCATGGCGAGACGAAGATTCAGACGCCACTTACAGCCACATATATATAATATATTTTATATATATATATCCCAAGTAGGGTGAAAGGCAGATAGGGAGGAAGCGAGACAGAACCGGAAACCACATTTGTCGGCAAAGTTTTGCCTACAGCCAGCCTCTCCACATCCACATTGCAAAAATAGTTGAGTGCAAAAGCGTGGAGCACACTTAAGATAAGCTTGCAGCGCAAAACTTTCATCTTACAGAATACGCGGAAACCCCTTCTCACTCTACGCCCCTGGCCTTTTGAGGAGGCATTCAACAAATTAATTCTGGCTTTGTCGCTGCAGAAAATATGTTTAATTTCATTTAAATGCAGTAAGTGCAACACTTTGGTTAGCTTTTGCCAGCTCTGAATGGAGTCGAGATGAGGGGTTTACGGTTGGATGTTTGGGGGTCTGATAGAAATCTTCTCGCCGAAGTTCTTTTGGTTTACATTTTCTGCGGGCTGGGTGAAAGCTGGGCAAATAGGTCTTTTCTTTTGCCGTGATTCCCTGCATGTGTACAACTTTTAAAGTGAGAGGGTGCAAAAAGTAGACCGGCGTTAATGAGCTTGACTTGGATAAAGTTGAGGCAAACAGTTTAATTAAATCGGAATCTCGGGGTTTAACTAAGGTTATATTACGATTAGAGATGTTAAAGCTTGTTGATCTATTTAAGTATATAGGGTCGTTTGACTTGGTAAAAAAAACACAGTAGTACCTTTCTTTATTATGAAAAAATTAGGTATACATTGAAAATAATAATAATAATCAAATTGCCATCATAAACTTTTTCAAGATATATTTAAAATCCGTATAATTCTTCCTTCTTTGTGAAATGCCCGTCAATAAATCTCATATTCAGCGAACATATATCGACACATCCGTCATTTTGACTGCAAATATGCGAACCTCATTCAGTCCCCTAACTATCCAAAGTTGTCAAAGTTCATCAACGAAAATTATAACAAAATCACAACTTCGTCTATTTATAGTTGGAGTTCAACTTTTCAAAGTTGGTTTTGTGTGCATTTTTTTGTTCAATAAACAGTTTTTACCACAAATTACAGCTTAACATTTTGGTCTACCAACGTCACACACTTGCACTTGATATATTGGAGATTTAAATACAGCTCCGTTTGCCATTTTCTATATTTCGTTGGTTTTTTTTTCTTGGGGATGGAAAGGGTGGAAGAGCAAACTCATCTGTCAGTTTTACATAGTGCACCCCAGAGAAATTTGTGTTTGTTGCATAAAAATTACATCATACATTGTTCGCGAACGGACTTTGATGGCTGTATGACACATTGGTAGAAGGGGATTTTTAAAAAAAAATACATAGAGTGCAACTGAGTGTGTTGCTCTGTTTTTGGCATTTCTAAAAATGTTGCATTGTGCGGGGAGCCATTGATGTGGCTGCTGTGACAACGCGCGTTGGAACCCCGTTCTCCTTTTTTTTTGTTTCAGATCCTTTTCATTTTGGTGTGATGCTGGGGCCAGGGCAATGACATCAATGCAGTTTTTATATGGACATTGTGGTCAGAAAAAATTTCAGCCAACCGCAATTTAAAAGGAAATTGTGGAGCGCGAGAATGAGAGAGTGACAGCTTAATGAATCGAATTTCGGTTTTATTATTAGCATTCATTTTAACGAAAGACAAGGGCTTCATTTTATGATTTATTACTATACAGATGGAAAAAAATCAAAAGTGACTAGCTATGGCAGGCAACGCGAATTCTTGAGGTTCAGATTACATGTTTTAGAAGATATTCTAGATTTTTACTTGTATTCGATTTTGTAATGTGACCAAGTTATTTGACCAATTTCTAAGAATAGAGAGATTTATACCCTGAATACAGATTTGGTCAGTCAAATGTTGTTTCATGATATAAGTATACTCATTAAAAGAAGTTTACATCGTTGTAGTTATAAAGCTGGAAAAAAATCAGATGTGACCAGGTGAATTCTTGATGATCAGAATATATGATTCTAGTTTTTACTTGTAAAATATATTGTTTTACGATCTTTTCATTTGACTCATTTCTAAAAATATAGAGATTTATGCCCTGAATAAAGATCCGATTAGTAAAATGCTGCTACTTGATATGATTATACTCCTTAAGAGAACTTTACATCGTTGTAGTTATTATGTTTGTGTTATGATTTTTTATTTTTCACGTTTTACTTCTTCTTTAGGTATTCAATAAGTATAAAACGATTTTGAATTTAAGGACATACAGCTGCAATGACTGGACCACGCACTACGTTGCCCTTTTTCTCAGCAACAGCTTCTTGGGTCTTGTGCGCATATTTGTTCGACTTTATTTTTTAATTTTCACAACTTTTGACAGCTTTGCAGTTGGTCACGTACGTGGCGAAGTCGGGACTGCCATATATTGGCTGGTGTTCGAAGGCGGGGAAAATGGCAGTGGTATGGGAATGACCACAGTGTGCAACAGCTGCCTTTGACGCACGTGACTGGCCCGGAAAACGAACCCGTCGACCTCTGGAACATGGCACCTTCGTTACCCCGTTGCCCTGGCAAATTTTAATCAAGTTTTCACGCCACGCCGCTCGGCACTCGCTCCTCAGTCTATTTAATTGTCAATTTGTTGCGGCGTGTGTCTGACTACCGACTACTGACTGCCTGCCGGTTGCCTGATAAATTATGTTCAGCTGAAGCCGCAATTAAGGGGTCGAAATGAAATGAAATGAAATGCAGTCCAATCCAATCGTTCATAGCTTCTTGGCCAACAACCCTGTGCACCAAAAGGTTCACTCAGCCATTCTTATCTCTGTGTCGGCCCGGGAGTTTCGGTTTATCTTGTCTTAATGATTCCATTGTCACCCAAATTTAAATATTCAACAGGATATTGCATGAAATATACATGAACCAGAAGCACACACACAAAGGCACAGAGGTGGGGCTAGGAATATATCCTGGTCGGAAGGACTGCAGGCGACAAAATCTTGTTGTGCGCAAATAACTTTTAGTTTGGTGTTCCTGCGAAATATTTTTGACAGAATTTCTAGACTTCTAATCTAAGATTTCACTTCAAGTATTTTTATTTCCCCATAAAGAACTTGTTTTGCTTTTATTTTGAATGGCTTGAATGATTTCATCAGACTTTTTCTTCATAAATAAAATGCAATACAGGTTTAATGGTTATAAACAAGCCAGGAGGGAACATCAAACCAAAATAAACTTTATAAAGTCTTTTAATTAAAACAACATTTATATTTATCATGCCCACAAATTACATTTTATATTCACTATACAAAAAAAATGCTAATAACAGACATTTCTCTTTCAAAATCATTAAATAACATATCTTAATTAACTAAGTAGTATAACGTTAAAGTATCTCAAAGTGAAATTTATATCTATCCAGCATATATTTCTAAGAAAGGT